TGGTCGGGTCCCAACCTTCTACCTCTCGCTCTTCCGGCGTCGGGTCATCCTGGTATGTTTCTGTCGGTCTTAATAATACTCGGCCTTTGATATCGGGAGCTAACCGACTTTCTTCTAGTGGTTCTTCTACATGGTGTTCATCTCCAACTACTGGCTATCAGCACCGTATGGGCGAAACTGGCTGTACCTCTGGTCAAGCAAGCACGCCAAGGTGTGGCAGATCATTCTCCTAGTCCTTCTCTTCTTCGTCGTGGTGTGGGCAGCTGCGCTCTGGGTATTTCACGTGCTTTCCAAGCGACATGCCTGGTTCATCCCGATCTTTGCCATTGGGCTGGGAGCCCCTCGATGGGCACAGATTCTATGGGCCACTTCCAACATTGGCACCTATATTCCTTGGGCGGGTGGACCAGTTGCTGGAGCCATTCTCGGACGGGCGCTCTGGTTGTGGCTTGGGGTTCTGGATAGTCTTCAGGGTATTGGTGAGTCTTTTTCCTGATCATCCGTCGGGGCTTTTCTCAACTAACATTAAACCATTCACCTAGGGTTTGGAATGATTCTTCTAAACACCATGACTCGTTTCCATGTCACCTTTACCCTCCTGGCAGCGCAGGTGGTTGGTTCGGTAGCCACCATTCTGGCTCGAGCTACAGCTCCCGATAAGTTGGGGCCAGGCAATGTTTTCCCTGACTTCTCGGCAGGGGTGACCGCCGGGTTGAGCAAAGCGGACTTTTGGGTGTGTCTGCTGTTGATGCTCTCCATCAACGTCATCTGCATCTTTTTCTACCGCAAAGAGCAGCTTTCAAAACCATAGTTATTGCAATTACTGTAGTCTAACTCTTTTGGACCAGTCTCTTGGTTGAAGAGATCTGGTGAGCATTATTTGGAGTAATTGGGGGACTTTTGTCTAGTGTTCATGTTTGGTTCAATTACCGCGGAGATATATAAATTGTACATCTTTTTCTCCGAACGATGTACATGGGAGACTGGGTTTTGGGTATATATTTGAGTAATGTTGGTAGCATACACCCGAATAATAGGATATATATCATATAGAAAGACAGCCATATCCCATCAAATGTTTGTGTCAAGCATCGTATCCAAGTCAAACAATCTTCTTTAGATCAGGTGATGGCGCAGCGCGGGACAAGTTCGGTCCGAGCCATCCCGGCTATTCCTGTTCAGGCCTGATCCCTCAGGCCGCCTGCATGACTTTTAATTAAATACGAGATGATTGCCCCCTCTTCCTAACTCGTGTCAAAAAATATCCCATTCCTTGTCAGTCCTTTCTGCAATACGCGTCTTGTCTTTTGTTTTCATTGAGAGCCGTTGTTCTGCCACTCTCTTCAGAGCAACGCGATTCTCGTTCACTCGCTTAACTTATTCACCCGTCGCCCTATCAACAACTTAGGCATTTTACTCCAGTCACTCAATACTGTCTACCATGTATCGCTCACTTTTCTCTATTCTTATTGCTCTCTGCTTCTATGCCCATTGCGCCTTTGCCTCCTTAACTTCAAGTGAGATCGCCAACTCTTTGAATGAATTGGCGCAACAAGGTTTCGCTGCCAAGGATCTCGTATTGGAGATTAACTCCACCGCCGATGCCGGTCCAATGCGTGTATGTTTGCCCTAGGTATCCTGAGATACGGTCATGATCCACAGCTTCAAGTATGCGTTTTTCTGATGAGGTGTAGGATGTCTATACCGAAATGGACACGATGGTGACCGTGGTTCTCACGGACATCGAGTTCATGACCAATACCCCTATCATCACTGATCAATCCGAGGAGCAGACAGTATATGAAGGGTACTCAAATGTGAGGTCATCAGCCTAACCCATAGCAACTAAATATATAACTTATCCCTTTGGCCGCTAGTTCGTACAATCGCTCCTTGAGCTCATGGACGCCTTCTCCGACAGTGCAACTGAGTTGAAGTCGATTGACTCAACCACTAAAGAGAAAGTGCCCTCGGAAGTTCGCATCCTGGAAAGTGCCGTGGACGTGAGATTGCCTCCATTTTTGAGCCGTTGAGGTCCACACTAATATGTCATCAGGCCTACTTCTATAATATTATCGGCCTCTTCCCGGCTAACAGCTCGTACAATGCCCAAGCCAGCAACCAGAAAGCCCAGGTCGACACCCATTGCTTCCAGGCTATCTGGGCGTTTGATGTCAGCGATGGCAGTCAGTCTAGCTCACAATCGCGCAGGAATACCTCTCTTCATGCTCGAAGAATGATGCGAAATTCCGCGTAAATTGGACCATGTACTTCCTGTAAGGATTGCGCAGAGCTGGATCGTCACCTTGATGGTCACCAGCGGAACCCGCTGCTGTATATTTCTAATTATTTATCACCTTGTACCATAATGATAATTTCACTGCACTTCCAGGCACCAAGTTTATGAGTGGACATTCATTTGCTGACTACATAATTGGAAGTAGACAAAATCTAGCGATACTACCCCCGGGGCAGCAGAGCCGTCATGAGATATACAACACGTAAGGATATGCGTACACCCTAGATGAATGATTCAATAGACAGACTAAGGCACAACAAAATACCGGGATGCCATATAGACCGAAGAGGAAAATTAGAAGAACAATAAAACAAGAGATATTAGGTTAACCCCAGAACATAAAGATCACGAGCACAGGATGAAAGTCTACGGCTTCAACACAACCTGACCCCCCCAGCCGCTCAATTTTCCTGCCGCATCTAATGCGCCTTCAATTTCATCCAGCCCAAATTCCTCGATGTAAGTGACCCCGCCCTTCCCACCCAGTGGAAGCAACCCAGACCGCACCATTTGAATCAGCCGGAACACATGCGGACGATCATACATAAACCGTCCCTGAATGCGAATGCCCTTGAACATGATCTCGCCGTAAGGAACCTGAACACTTCCCAAGTGACCGCCCATCAGGACACATCGACCGAAAGATCCCAGCGCACGAATACCGGCAACTAACAGGGATGAGTCCTGAACGGTTGGGGGCGACAGGTCCAGGTATACATGGGCCCCCTCCGGTTGGCCGACCGCTGTTTTGAAGGACTGGGTATCAGTGGCCTCGTCCCCAGTGATTTGGACTGTGATTAGTCGTTGTGTACCATGAATGCGTTCGAGCTTGTCCAGAGCTGCCCTGTTGCGACCGGCTGCGATGACGGTGGCCCCCATGGCCAGGGCTGCGCCTACCGCACCGCCACCAAAACGCCCTGTAGCTGGGGCCACAATCACCACCTCGCCCGGTTTCACGTCCACCTCGGCCAGCCCGCCAAAGGGGACCAGGTATACGGTCAAAAGACAGAGGTCACTGATACTGTATCCCAGCCGCCCCAGGAGAACTTTCTCGTCCAGTGGATACAGGTTCTCCAGAGGGAACCGCGCGTATTCAGCATATGTTCCGTTGCGCCAAACTCCATCCATGAGTTTCTGCGCCGCAGGATGAATTGCTCCATGAACTCCGTACAGCATGGTAACAGTGGGATTATCGCGCGCGCGGATGGTTATGTCACAGAAGACAAGTTGACCCGGCCTGAGGGTGACACAGTCGGGTCCAACTTCATGGATACGCGCGATGGCCGTGTTTCCCGGAGTCATGGGGATGGAAAGTGGGTATGGGCGCTGGTTCGTGATTACCTCCCTCATATAAGGGACAATATCAGCAGCCAGGATGCGGACGATGGCATCGCCAGTCGATGCCACAGGGCGAGGGACATTTTCCACGACCAGGGGCTTGTCCCGGGCATGAATCACCGCCGCTTTGTGGGTTGACATATTTTTTTTTTGTTGGTCTGAGGGGCAGTTGCAAGGTAGTAGAAGATGAGCCGTTCCCTTCTCTGCTGCCTTAACTGATATGTAGAGCCATTTAATTTCGTGCTTTGTCCATCAATTTAAGGAAGACAGATCCATGGTAGGCGAGAATGGTATATCCGCAAACTCCGGTCACCCCGACCAACAAAAGTCTGGTAACGAAGAAGCAAGATACTACGGAATACCCACTTAAGCGATCCCATCTGTCATAGTAAATTCTGGTAAAGGGTCAATGACACCAGATATAGCCCTGGACGGTGGGTCCCAATCAATTCTGCCGATTTCAACACTTCTGCAATTGCTTGCGCGGCAATGGATTCACGGCGACGGCGATAACCTCTCACTGCTCCCCGTATCTCCGAATCCCTCCACCAACGCGCTTTGTATGTCATGGATCCGTGGTCAATGTATGACCTGCCACCGCACCCGTATTGGCAAGGTCGTCAAACGTTGACTGCTGATCTCATGACAGATACTAAAGCCGTATGTGGTGGAAGTTTTGCCTCCCATGTACATAGACAAAGTAGAGTGGGTCCGACTCTACTTTGTCTATGTAACTTTAGAGAAAAGCATATTCATGAAGTGAACACCAAAGTGGCAGGGTGAATGTGCGAGCCCCACTGGGTTATGAACATGGTGACTGGGCAGCTAAACCTACTAATGCTATCGCATTTAGCGTTCGTACCTACTGTCCTGATACTACTCGTAGCCTGGCCCTGTGTCTATACTAGCTAGCTGTTGTTATGGGCGCACTTCGGGGCCCTTGAGGGCAAGGCACCCGCGAGATGGGCGCTAGGGTCCAACCGGAGGGCTGCGGCAGTTGCTCCGCACGGTGAGATTCTGCAGCAAGCCTTTTGAATGCCGTTATTCCCCTTGCTTTTATACCGGTGGATCCATGGCAATAGGTAGCCCGCAGATCGTCGACTGGCTACTGATGCTGAATGGTCGATCCTGGATTACCGCTGTGCTATGCTGAAGTGTCAGGCGTCCATTCCGCTCATGTGGGCCTACCTTCAGACCTCAATAATTCTTAAGGTAGGGGCATTGTGGAGGGTCAAGGGCATATGCTGAAGAGAGGCAACTGCCATACAACGCAGGACTCGATGCTGTCAGATATGAATCACATTTGGTTCATGAAGGTTATCACACCCAAGGTGCAGGGGACCATCAACGTCGTCTCTGCCCTATGCCCCACCAGGTCTTATCTGGATTTCTTCATCATGTGCTCCTCGTCAGCGGGAGTTATTGCCAACCGCGGCCAGGCCAACTATGCTGCCACACCAACACCTTTCTGGGTGTTTTTGCGTGTCAACTGATGACAGGAGGCTACCCGGCCACCTCGATCAGTCTGGGAAGCGTGTTCAGTGTGGGTTGGATCGTGGAGAACCATTTTAGACTCTCCATCGCGCTCGCCTACAGGGCCCTCTGGAAAGATCTCACATTCTCTATCCTGGAATATCGTATAAACCCTGCCTGGGGGGTGGCGCAGAGTACCCAGACCTGCCACACGGTGGTCGGAATACGATCCGCGCGGGACTTTCAACGCCAGTCCATCCCTCTGCCCAGGTTCATGACCCATTCGTTATTCTCTCCGCGTCGGGCCATTGCAGGCAGGTCCCAAATGGCCGAACAAGAGGTCGAGGCGGCGGTGGACGTCGTAACGCGGACGATCGTCGATAAACTGGCGCGTATTATGGCACTTTCCGTTCAGGAGATTGATCCGCAGCGGTCGCTGGGCTCGTACGAGGTGGATTCCCTGGTAACAGTGGACTTGAGGACTTGGTTCGGACGGGAAGTGGGGGTTTCCATGGGATCGGGAGAGCCGTTGGCGGAGCTGGCCATGACCCAGTTGGCCCGACAGGCTGCGGACGGATCACAGTTCTTGCCGGCGGAGCTCGGGAGAAGTTAGTAGGAGAAGGGCCTGTATCTGATTAAGAAAGAAGATTTAATAGGGTGCAATTGCATGATGGAGGCCCAAAAAGACAAGCCAGGAAGAATGAAGCTTTCGACCATGAGGAACGACGGTTGAGGCGCCATATTCAGGCATTCAGGCATGAATATTAGTAATCAGAGATGTAACAGGTGACTTTTACCGAGGCAAGGAAGTGGCACTAGCCCCAAATAGGTAACACAACAACCAGCTGCTGTTTTGAGACAAAAAAGGAATCCAGTAATCAGGCAGAATCGACTAGTTACATACAAGCAATGTCTCCAAAACGGAGCCCAGAGCTCAGACCTTGAGATATTGTCACTCCTGCTCGCATGGTGGTGTGCTTCGTTTTGGCTGTTCTACGTTCAGTGTCGAGTGATCAAAGCATATTTGACCGGGTGAGGAGCAAAGAAATATGCCCCAAAGCCAATATTTCTGGAACTTGAAGTCATTGGCTAACATGGGGCTGCAGAAATATTAAGATTAATATCAAGACTGGGACTACGCCCGCCACTGGCCCTGCAATACAATCGTGGATCTTGAGCCAGCTGTGGCACATGCTGGCTACACGAGTAACTGCTCGGTTCGCTTCGCAACATCTGAGGCCTATGTTTAGCCACTAGTAGTTCAGATCTTCCCTGTTTCTATAAGAAATCCATCTTCCTGTGCACTAAGGCGTGCCAAACCTTTAGCTCTCTAGTCTTGTGACCAAGCTTTTAGTTTATGCTTCAGTTTTCTTGCCTGGGAGAACATGCCTGGTACAGAGATCAGTCAGTGGTGCAAACCCGTCCATACGGTGCCCCTTCGAGGAATATGAACGGATCCTTGAGAAGAATCCTATTTTGGCTGTCACTGGCTGTACGGAAAAATTCTGCCAAGCTGGACGTCTCATTCACAGCGCTGAGTCAAAGGTCGGGGAGAATCGTCCCGTCGAAGTGGTGCAAAATGAAGCGGTGGCTTTTCTCTGGCAGTTGTGGCAGGAAGGCATCTACACCGAAGACCGTTACCTAGAAAGGCGCGCACAAGTACTGGAGGAGATAGCTCAATCAACTAAAACCGCAATTGTGTGGGATCAGGAATACAAGCGAGTGGGCAAGACTTGTATCTGGACACAAAGCGCCGAAGAACTTCGCTATGGGCTGCGTCTGGTTGCCTCGACCACCGGCAGTGGTGCCTTTCCTGCCAATGGAGCTGATTTTGCAAATGCCTTAGGGCATTTCCGCCACACGCTCAAGGTTGACTTTTCCCGTGTCCGACTGTCCGTCTTTGGGGTTGGGGATAGTGCCTGTCCCAATTCCAATGCCGCAACAATCACCGGCTACGACTATTTCCACCACCTCAATATCTTGCCCATAGCTGGTGGATTAATAAAGGCCGATGTGGCATCCGAAGCATTGCCGTTGCGCATGTTCAATCGCTGGTCGGACGCGGTCGAGTCTGCGTTAATGGGAGGGAAAGGCGAATTGACGAGTGATCCGGAAGAAGCGTTCGTAACGCACGCTGGGGTGCTCCGCAACTTTAGGGAAGTGGTTACCTCTAAGGCATCCAGTCGGACGCACGATGGACTGATCCTTTTGACTCTTGACGGCATCGAATGTGCCGAGATGACTCACCTACGGATTCTTCCCACGAATTCCTCATCTCATGTCTCCCGAGCCATCATAGCCCTGGGAATCACAGATCCTCAGCAGCTTATACCGTTCTCTGGCGAAGGGCTCCAGTCGTGCAGCTACAAGGCCTTCTTCACCAACTTCGTTGACCGGGAGGAAAGAAATAAAGTTCCAAGCTGGGCAGCCGAGGTTGACAAGAACGGCGAGCGCGAGAACGAAAGTATCCTTGTAAGACTGGAGAAATTATCGGACATTATAGAGCCGTCGCAGTTGACTCAAGGCTTCCGTCATAAAATCTGTCTTGCTTGCCCACTTATCAAGCCCCGAGCCTATTCCGTGGCATCATCCTCGCGGTACATCGGCGAGAAGAAGGTAGAGCTCTTGATTCAGCCACAACAGCAAGGCCGATTCAGCGACATCTCCCTCTCCTCCCTTCAGCCAGGCGGATCAGTGGTATATGCCGTCGTCCCTGCCTCCCCTGCATCTTTTCTTCTCGCTGTTCAAAAGCCGCTTGTTATCATCACCACTGGCTCTGGATTTGCACCAGTCCGCAGTCTACTTCAGCAGCGGATTCAGACTGCACAAGAATGGGGAGGACATAGCAGCACGACACACCCATTTCATACCGCTCCCATCAGTCTATTCGCGGGGTTTCGGCCTGTGGGTGAGAACCTCTTTCACGCGGTAGTCCACCTGGCGCAGAGGCATCGTGTGTTAGATTTGGCCTGTCTTGTTCCTCGTAACCGCGAAAAGAAGCGTATCCAAGGTTTTCTACTGGACAAACGTAACGAAATTCGGACGAAATTAGTGGAACAGGACGGATATGTCTATGCCTGTGGGAGCGCCGCTATGGCTGAAGGGGTGCAAGCTAACCTCAGCAAGGTTTTGGTAAGAAATGTGAAGCAGATAATGGGCGATATATATGTAGAGGAAGTTTTCTGAGGGGTTCTACCAAAAAGCATGTGTTATAACATTGTACTACTAATGTGGTTCTAGACATGCTTAGAGCATCATACTCGGATGACGGTGGTGATGGTGATGATAACAATAAGCAATACCTACTACTCCTGTACCACAGACAACTGTATTACAGACAACCAAACCAACAAAAGACAGTCATCATGCGTCTTTCATTCGGCCAGGTCACATCACTGCGTGAAAAAAGAAAGGTAGTCCTGCCACATAAAGCACAAATTGAGATGTCCACCGAAATCACCACAGCCACCACCCTCTTCTGTGTAGTATGAGTAGTATGTGATCATTGTGGTCTTTCCACTAGCAGCAAGCGCTTGTATACTAGTAGGATTGTCATGGTCTCCGGCAGTTAGTACTTGATAATTGGTCTACTTACCATCACCTGAATTGTAGCATGTTTACCAGGTGTGAAGAAATATATACTAGGCCCATCCCACTGCTCAACGAGGTGACAGCGTGCTAGGAACTTAAATTATTAGTAGTACTGGTGTGAGAGTCAATGATGAACTAGCGAACTGTGTGCCACCAATTTTAGTAACCTCCCTAAGCCACAAACTGAAATTATATGCTGTTCCCCCCATCCAATGATAAACCTGAGAAATTTCACCACATTACTAGTTATACTTATGGCGGTGCTTACATAACGTCATTACCCGGCTCTCTATCACGTGATACTCTAAGGCTGCCAAGGCAGCAATCTCACGTCAGCCCCCTCAATTAGCCCCAACGAATCAACGAGTTAACCACCTCCTCATCTTTCAATCAATCGCATCAAGAGAGACATTCGTCTTTTAATCTAGTATCCTCGCGTAGTACCCCAACCGCAATCCTTTTACACCCACATATATATACATATATATATACTCATGTAATCGAGACATCTCTCTAGCAGTCAACGGACCCTTTCCCGTTCCGACGGGAAGAATCCGAGCACTGGAGCCCCTGAAGGATCGTCGGGTGTTAGTCTGCATCTAGTGGCTCGGCTTCATCTTACCTCTTTGCACGGCCCCCCTCAAACCCACTGTCCCCCTCGAATGTGTCAGAGACTCAACAGTACAGCATCCGAGGGTGCAAGGGATTGGTTCATTCGACACGCTGACATTCCTGGGCCGCCCCGCCCGCCGCCAACCGGCTGCCTCACCAATGTCTCTCTCGTCCCTCCGGCTTCGTCAGGTTGAACTCGCCAGGTTCTCCCTCATGCCTATCTGGGATGGCGTGCTCGCGCGTGCCCTTGATAGCCTGCCCAGTCCAGGCTTGAAAAATTCCTCTCCTGCTCTTCAAAGGGATCTTGGCCCCCACCAGCCTCGGCACGGCCCCCGTTCAATCGGCTTTCGTGTGGGCATGGCTGGCGCGCTGCCCAGCGACGGTCATTTCCCCAGATGAAAACTCCCTGCGTCCCGCCCATCTCCCTCTTATTTCTGTCGCTGAAATGTGAGATGGCACAGCTGCTGCTGCTGCTGCTGCCGCCGCCGCCGACCTGAATTCAGTTTCCACCTGGGTAAAGAGAGAAAAAGCTGGCGGTGTTCGTCAGCATGTGGCTCTACCATTTGCTGCTGATCGTCCTTCTGGAACGACTGGTGTCCGGCACCACCTGCTACTTCCCTGAGGGAAACGTGGCCGAGGATTACACGCCTTGCTCCGACAATGGCGTCTCGTTCTGCTGCAACAAGAACTCGATATGCTTGAGCAATGGCCTCTGCACCTCCATGCATCAACCGTATGTTCTTGGCCGCGGCGCCTGTACCTCCCAAAGTTGGAACGATACCTCGGTCTGCGACGATGTCTGTCATGGAAGTACGTGAGATACCTCGCCCACCCTGATAGTTTGGCTTCAACCTAGTCTACTGTTCTTCTTTGCGACTGACCAGGTGCTGGCAAAATTACAGTCACCACCGCGTGGAGCAGCGCGTGCTCCCTCATCCTCTACAGTGACGTGAACGGAGTCAAGCTCTACTGCCCCAACTCGATTATTTCCAACGGGACCAACTCCATCGGATGCGCCAATGGTGTCTCGCCCGTTTCAGTGGGCACTGGCAAGCCCATTGCTGGCAAGGCATATCTGGCCAGCTACTCCCTCCTCCCCACTGCTAGCACCGCCACCAGCACCGCGACCGCGACCTCTACCACCGAGCCCAATACCTCGTCTTCCTCCACAGCCGATGAAAGCTGCAGCAGCCCGACCGCGGCTAATGGCAATCAAGTCAGCCGCGCGACCGTGACCGCCGTTGGGGCCGGGGTCGGCGTCCCCCTTGGGCTGCTGGCGTTGGCATCGCTGGGATATGGTTTGAACGAGAGGAGAAAGCGGCTTCAACTCCAGAATACCCCGTCAAACGTATACCAGATGCCGGCGGCCTCATCAACGTCCTACCGAACGAGGAATATGGGCGCGAAGGAGCTATCTGGCCATGTACCGCTTCATGAGTTGGACACGTGATTGTGCATGGAGCGCGCATACAAATACTTGTTAGGGTTTGGTGGAAAGAGAAGACAGAAAGGGAGACTGGCAAACGGAATGTGGGTGGTTGCATGTATTTCCGTTACTCCTAAGAGTTCGTGTCTGTCCCCGAGCTCACACCCGCTGAACCTGTACTTTTTTGGACCGGCCAAGAAAGAACCGTAAAGATAATACTAATACACTGCTTCTGAGCAGCTCGTGTACAGTACATAGAGTAATGTTGGCTAGATCTACCGAAACTTCAAACCATAAAGGGTGCAACTCGGAGTGAAAGGCGTGAGAAAAAGAGATATGCATTGCTTGACTTCCCTCGGAAGCTTCCCTGATAGTTCTCGGAATCAAAACAGCAGCTGAGTAGTCATGCCGCCACAACAAGCCCGACATGAGAAGACGAATCTGCGACGGGTAGTACCAACTGAAAGAGCAGAGGACTCCTACGAAGTACTAGGCATACTAATGACCCAACACGTACCCAAGAGCGAATTATCAGGCTCATACTTGAACATCACGCGAATGTCTACAGCAGCCAAGCCCTCCAACTAACATATAATGATTATGTCTTATGATTTATCATCCTCAACGTCAGTTAGATGACACTTCTGAGCGAGAACTATTGAACGCATCTATCGAAACCGACTAAGGTACTTGCGAGGCCTGACCCTGAGACCAGGTTGGTAACGCCGTCCTAATGCGGGCTTGACATATATGGGGAGATCCCAAGTATGCATACAGAGTTGGAAGAAGAACGAAAAAACGGAAACCCTTGCCAACGAACCATGTTGCCCATACAGGAAACCATTATCAATTGGCCGGCATGCAGCAACAGCATATACTGTGTTGACAGAGCACACACCTTGGCTGGCCATCCACCTTCGGGACTAATTGAGCACACTGGCACTACGGAATCGATGAGCACCTTTCAATTTCCACATACAAGGGGGGTAACCAACACAGACATATAAAGTGGGCAATGTCAGGTACGGTACGAGATGATCATGAGCGCCGACAACTTGCTCGGTCGACCTCAGAGCTGAGCTGGCCCAGGAAAGGTGTCGTATGGAGGGCCGTGTACAGTGTACGAACGGAATCATATCATCTACCGATCTTAAGATCGGACGGCAGAGCGTTTCATCGGGCTCGAGCTGCTCTGGTGGGCTGTGATGATCTATCACCCCGTCGTTGTCTGGGAGGAAACCAAGAGGGATATCATAGTGTACGGAGGCCATGTTTGAGCTGTCAAGAAGACAAATTGATGTATTGCTCGCATGCGGGAGGACTTTGATAAGCTGGTGGGGGGCATGGCTACTGCTCTTACCAGTATTAATTTAGAGGTTCTTGTGGCTATGTCTCCCGCCACAGCTGCGATTGGGTAGCAGTCAGGCAGGAAGATGGGCCGATACTCCAGCTGCGACACACATGATCTCAGCAACGGGACGTATGAATCTCCTCATTAAGAAAACAAGCTTAGCATCACCACCCCGACGCTCATAATGGCATCCGGGTCGAAACCTTCTCACAATGATTATACCGTGGCGTGGATATGCGCACTCCCAGTGGAGCTGGCGGCTGCCCAAGCCCTTCTGGATGAGACCCACGATCAGCTTCCAGCCGGACCGAATGACGCGAATGTTTACACACTAGGGTGCATATGTGGCCATAGAATTGTCCTCACCTGTTTACCGAGCGGTGTATGCGGGACGATCTCTGCAGCTGTTGTCGCGACCCAACTTTTGTCAACTTTCCATTCCATCCAATTCGCCCTCCTAGTCGGTATTGGCGGAGGCATACCAACTAAGAATGCGGATGTCCGTCTTGGTGACGTAGTCGTTGCAAGACCTACTGACAACAACGGAGGTGTCGTACAATATGACTTTGGCAAAGCAACAGCCGCTGGCTTTCAGCGGACAGGCATGTTGAATAACCCGCCCAGATCCCTCTTGCACGCGATCTCTAAAGTAGAGGCAAACCATTTGTCACATGACCGCCAATTTGTCTCTTTTCTGTCTGAATTCGAAAGGAGAACGACTGAACAGGGAGCCTTGGTCTTCTCGAGGCCGGTGACGGAAGACCACCTGTATCTTGCAGATTACCCTCATGCTGGCATCCGGTCCGATGGATGTGCAAATTGCGATAAGTCGAGGACGGCTTCACGGTCTGTCCGATGCGATGGCTTGCCAGTGGTTCATTATGGATTGATTGCATCAGGGAACCAAGTGATCAAAGACAGTCACGTACGTGACAAGCTAGGGCAGGAGCTTGGGGCGTACTGTGTTGAGATGGAAGCAGCCGGTTTGATTAACCATCTTCCATGTTTGGTGATCCGTGGCATATGTGACTATGCTGATTCACACAAGAATGACGCATGGCATGGGTATGCTGCCGCTACAGCTGCAGCTTATGCGAAGGAACTACTTTCCGTAATGCCAGTTTCGCAGCATAATATGGCCGCTTCGATAGATACTTCGCAGGGTGAGTGATGTAACTTGCTCCTGATAAAGCATCGGACCGCTGATAGAGACTAGAAAATTACCATATACCATTTCAACTGACTGACGTACCCACGATTAGCAACTTTGTCGGTCGGGATGTGAACCTCCGCAAGCTATGGGAGATCCTGCAACCGAATAAAGTGATGGCGCGCAAAGGTGTCGTGATACATGGAATGGGTGGGCTGGGCAAAACACAATTAGCAGCCCACTTCGCTCGCATGCACAAAGAGGACTTCACATCAGTTTTCTGGCTGCATGGCAAGGATGAGACTACCTTGAATGCGTCATTTGCAGACCTCGTTGTCCGCGTCAGAGATATGGCTGCAACCGACAGTACGCACCACCATTCGATGCAAGAAGGGCCACCTTTATGTGCCAAAAGAGCCCTAGAGTGGCTGTCGAAGAAAAATAACGCTGGGTGGCTTCTCATCTACGATGATGTAGAAGCTTCTGACATTAAAAGCTGGCTGCCGACTGCAGATCATGGCTCGATCATCATCACAACTCGATCACCGCAACTTGCTGAGGGCATGATCGCTCACCCACTCACGCCGCTTCCCTTTGAGGATGCCTTGCAACTACTCACTGGCGAGCCAGGCCCTAGAGACAGCACATACGGCAGATGCCAGAACGACCCAAGCTCCGAAGCACTAGCTAAGCGTTTGCACGGATTACCTTTAGCACTGGCACTTGCAGGCTCCTATATCCACCGGACAGGTATGAGCTGCTCCAAATACTTGGAATACTACCAGCGCGAATGGTGCAGCCTTCAGGCAGCCGCACAACCTCTTCGAGGGTACCCAAACGGAAATTTGCAGACGGCGTGGAGAGTTTCTTATGAGGCAGTTAAGCAAACCTCCCCACTGGCAGCACAGACCTTCTTTATTCTTTCGCTCTTTCATCACGAGGATATATGGTACGAGCTACTCCACAGCGCCATGCAATCCCGCATTCTACCCTCAGGGCTTTCAGAAGTTTTCTCAAACGAGATCCAATTTTCAAAGTCGATGCAGATATTGCTGGACTTCTCGCTGGTACAGCAGTCTTCGCGCCACGGGAGTTATTGCTTACACCCGGTCATACAAGATTGGTGTGAGAATGAGCTTCCGTTTGTCGATTCGGACCTCGATGAGCTTAGCAGAGAGACCTTTACCATTCTCGCAGTCACAGTGGGCTCGAACGCCCAATTTGCGCTAGACACGAACGACTGGTCGTTGCAACAGCGCCTTCTGTATCACGCAAACAGACTCATGCCATTGATACGAGACAAACCAAGAGAGAGTCGAGATTCTGAGGTCCTTTCGGCACTTCATGCGATGGGGCGCCTGTATTGGACACATGGAAGGCACAAACGAGCAGAGCAGATGTACCAAATGGCACTTGCTGGGAGAGAGATGGCGTTCGGCCCAGATCACAGAGTCACTCTCCAGACCGTCCATAACATGGGCTTGCTGTACCATGACCGGGGAGATTTGAGATCAGCCGAGCTGATGTTTGAGCGGGCGCTTTCCGGATATAAAAGCACCGAGATTGATTATTCTCAACTGGAGGCGCTGGATACCCTTCAGAGTCTTGCAAATATCTACCATGCTCAGGGGAGACTGGACGAGGCCGAAAGGCTGTGCTACAAGGCACTGACGGGATACCGAAGTTCATCGACAGCAAGCAGTCCATTGGTCCTGGATGCCATGCATAACCTTGCAAACATCTACTTTTCTCAATACCGGTTGCCCGCAGCAGAAGAGCTATACGACGAAGCCTTGAGGGGCAAACAGAGATCTCTTGGTGAATATCATACGTCGACGCTAAACACAATCCATAACATAGGTGTTGTCTATTTTGAGCAAGGCCGAGGACAGGAAGCTGAAGAAATGTGTGAGAGAGCCCTTTCTGGAAGGATGACAGTATTTGGGAAAGATCACGCATCTGTATTCGACACGCAATTCCAACTAGGCACCATCTATCGCTCACAGGGTAAATTGAAAGCGGCCGAGGAAATGTACCAACGCGTTTTGTTGGGACGGGAGAAGGTTCTAGGCGCTTTTCACTCCTCAACCCTTCATACTATCCACCATATTGGAAATCTCTATTATGTGCAAGGCAGGCTGCAGGAAGCGGAGCAGATGCAAGAACGAGCACTCAACGGCTTTGACCGCACCTTTGGTCATGACCACACCTATACACTTGAGTTGGCCCATACCCTGGCTGTTTTTTGTTGTCAGAGAGGGAAGCTCGATAAGGCAGAGTCATTATTTCAACGCGTTCTGTCCGCCAAAGAGCAGATCAATGGAAAGCGCAGTGGACCGGTGCTTGCTATTCTGAACAACTTAGCAAATGTATACCGAGAACAGGGCAGACTCCGGGAAGCAGAAGAGACCTATAAGTTGGTCTTGGCCGAATGGCGGAAACACAGCCCAACGCATTCTGCAGCACTCGGTGCTTTGAACAATCTAGGTGTCGTTCACCAAGACCGGGGCCAACTGAAAGAAGCGGAGAAAATGTTCAAAGAATGCCTAAATGGATATGAAAAAAGCCTCGGTCCTAATCATGTCCTTACACTGGACGCGGTATCTAACTTAGGAGACTTGTATCGGGATCAGCACAAAGCCCACAGGGCAAAGGAGCTTTACTTGCGCGCTCTTGCCAGCTACGAGGAGACCATGGGTCCCGACCATCCGAAAACACGAGAAACCGCAAACAAAGTCCGCTTGGTATCCAATCATCCAAACTCGGCCAAGCGAGATTTTATTGCCAGACTCTGGAAAGGTAGTCGCTGGTGACATACCTTACTCGTGATTATGTTGTATGCCAATGTTTTCCATACCTCGTTCAATCAGCAAATAAAAGGTGTTGATGAATTCCTACCTTCGGCGACACAGTGATATTTGGTCCCGCTGACACGATATCTCTATCTCTAATCCAACACGCGGCTTTAGTATTGGTATGTCCGACGACTTTAATGATATTTGATTTTTCTCTATTGCCCGCTATTCGGGATTAAGTTTGCTGTATACGGCACTCATATGCCCAGGACAAGCCTGGACATGAACAGAACCGGGTATTCTGCTCCGGAAAGGCAGCGGAGAAGATGTTCAAGAAAGCCTCACAATGCTTCCCCCAGAATGCTCAACAACTCTTCTGTGAAGGCCTCCGGATGAGTAGCGGATGGCAGATGCCCACCGGCCACCATCTTAACTGGTAAGCGTAATTCGGCACCTAGGGTGGTGATCGGTTCAGTGGTCAACGGAGTTGAGGACAATTCACCCCTGATGAGAGTAATCTTTTCACGATAGGCCTTCAACACAGGAAAGGGTACTTGGTATCCTAGCAGTACAGGTAACTCATATTCGAAGAGGAAGTTGAAACAGAGAATCGACAACGCAAGGAGCTTCTTATGAGTGGGCGAGTCACGAAGCAGCGCACGGTCTTCACTGCTCGTTACGACCGGGACAAATGTCTCCGAGGCGGCAGCTGGACCATGGGTCTTGTATATCGAAACGGTGGACTGGAATGCTGCAGAGACCTGCTCATAGCTCTGCTTTGGTAGGAGACATGGTATGCACGGGTCATGGACAATTATCTCTCGGACCAAGTCTGGATGAGTGCTGAGCAGTTCAAGGGCATGCATGCAACCTAGTGAAATGCTGTAGATGAGGACTGGCTGATCAGGTGAGAGGTGCTGTATGAGAGCGACTATGTCGTCGACGGTGTCTTTCAGCAGGGTTCGTTGCTGTTCATGCGTCGGTGGAGAGAGGAAGCGACTGCGGAGGGAGCCTCGCCGATCGAAGCCAATAATAGTGTATTGGGACGATAGCCGCAAG